CCTCTCACCCACCCCTACCTCCTTTCCTAGCGCGCCTTTTGACAAGACAGCCAACATCACCTTCTCCCTCCATGCGGATGACGAGAACGTGAGTGCTTGCCTGTCCTGGACAGTGGGGAGGAGGGATGTGAGGGCACTGTGGGCAGAGGAGTCATCTTCCTACCCTGTACCTCTAGCCCAATGCCAACCTGCTCGAGATATGCTATAAGGACCGCATCCAGCAGTTTGATGATGATGAGGAGGAGGAAGAGGATGAGGACGAGGGCCCGGGTTCTGGGGAGTCGGATGGAGAGTATGGTGCTTGGCAGGGCAGCCAGCTGGTGAGGACAGCCCGCTTGGGCCAACCCCCTGGAGTCCGGTGAGTTCCTGGCTGAGTGAGAACTCAGGAAGGAGTAGGAGTGGTGTGTGTACTASTTGGGGCACTTTGAATTTTGAGTGATAGAAACCCAGACCAAATGAGTTGAGCTACAGAAGGAAAAGGACAGACTAGGAGTGCAGATGGGTCCTCCCTCCATCAAATGGCTGCTCCCATATGAGCTCTTAGGCACGTTTCCTGTACAGGGGTAAAGGGTCCCTTTTTCCTTATTCCACAAAGCTGGAATTAGGTTGTGATCAGCCTTGGGTGAATATCATGTTAATTTTTGTTCTTTGGTTAAATGGATTCATGCTGTGTATATTTTGCCAGCATGAACACCAGGTCAGTGGGCTGTGACTCTGTGGGCTGCCTGGTGACTTGATTTGCAGATTAGAGTGTTTTATGTTAACTTTTTCTTTTTTTTTTTTTTTTTTTTGGTAGTAATGGGGCTTGAACCTAGGGGCATGCTACCATTGAGACACATTCCTAGTCCTTTTTATTTGAGACAGGGTCTCCCTAAGTTGCCCTAGTTGGCCTTGATTTTGGTGTCTCCCTGCTCAGCCTCCCTCACCTTCCAGGTGCCACCACACCTTTTTAATGATGTTACCTTTTTAATGATATATGTGTCATGCATATAGATAAGTGTAGCACCCCAAGAGTACAGCTACAGGGACTCCCCTTTGTCAGTACCTGATCTGGGAGCTGGGCCTTTCATTTCCTGGGGTACCCTCTGCTGGCCACTGACCTTGATGTCCTGCTGTAGACCACTATGTGACTCTGGTGCAGGTTGAACATCCTGTGTCTGATGTACCTGGGGCTAGTAGAGGAAGAGAGTGGACCCTTCTGTTGAGTGGAGGCTCTGGGTGGGGAGGCCTGCTAGGGGATAATGATGCTGGCGATGTCCAGTGGGCACTCAGGAGCTGGCCTCTGTCTGTGTGTCCTTCTGCTGTGTCTGAGTCTGTATTTCCTGGATGTCTGTCCTGCCTTGGAGGGCAGATGGGGATGACTGTCTTTACTGCTCTGTTCAGCACATGCAGGAATCCCTGTCCCCAGGCTCTAGGACCTCCTTGTCAGTGGCTTCCCAAAGTCCTCCTCTGCCTGTTTTCTTTTGTCAACGTCTGTCTACCCTGTGGCCCTGGGCTGCAGTGGGGGAAGTGGGTCAGTGGGCTGTCTCTGCATGGCCACCTGATGAAGTGGTGTCGGGGGCAGGAGTGGAGGCAGCACAGACAGTGAGGACGAGGAGGAAGAGGAGGAAGAGGAGGAGGAGGCTGATGGCAGGGCAGCCCGTGTTCGGGTTGACCCCACTTCCTACCCCACAGCTGGCTCTCTGCCTCCTGGTGAGTGTTAGATGGTGGGTGATYGGGTACACCTGGGGTATGTGCCGCTAGCTCACCTTTGTCTCCGTTCCCTGGCCCCTGCCCCAGGCCCGAGCTGGACCGCCACCTTTGACCCAGTGCCTATGGATGCCCCAATGGACCCCCAAGTCTCTGGGGAGGAGGAGCTACACTCTGGGCCTCCAGCACCTGCGGGGCCCCTTGACATGCCGCCCACCCAGAGCCTGACCAGTCCTTCAGCCCTCAGTGCCCTGCAGCTCAGGTGAGGGCAGGTGGGGCAAGTGAACGTGAGACTGACATTCCTGGGTCCTCTCTCTAGGCTTGGGTGTTGACCCCAGCCACACCTTCGGGCTCTTCTCTTACCTCCTAGGTCTCAGGACCCCACGCCCACCTCAGCACCTCAGGAAGTCACAGATGATAGCAAAGTGACAGAGTCCTCTGGTGAGCCTGCCTTTGCCCTGCCCACTTGGGTTCCTGGGGTCTCAGCCTGGCTGTGTCTGAAGCTGCTGGGAGGCAGCAGCTGATACCTGCTCTGTCTCCTTCACAGCCCCTTGCCAGGCCTTGGTTAGCATCGAGGGCCTCCAGGCCACCCTGCATGGGATGCGCTCCACCCCCAGCAACTTGGACAGGTAAAGGGGCGTTGGTCTGGTTGCTGGGAGGCAGGGGCAGCCTTATGTTCTTGTAGAGATGGGTGTGGCTGTCTTGTCTCTGGGCTGCTCCTGGTTGCTGAGCCTTTCCTTGCATTCCCTGTGGCTTTTTTTTTTTTTTTTTTAAGTAAATACGCATAGGGCAGGAGTAGGCTTGAGGGTCCTTGTAACCCCAGGGGCAGAGAAAGGCTTCCTGGAGGGTGTAAGGGGTCTTCAGAAGCCCATGTGCAGAGGACCTATGTGGGTGGGAAGCACCTCCTGCACAGGGTATCTGGTGCAGCTGATGTGGGGTACAAAGTGGGCACCGCTTGCCTGCCCCTTCCCCTGCCCGGGCTGTTTGGTCCCACTTTACTCTGCCATCTGTATCCTCATGGGCATCCACGAAGCTACCAAGCATCTAGCTGGTGTCCGGCCATGATCCTCAGTAAGGCCCCTCTGGGAGTGATGGTCAGTCTCGGGTGGATTATGGTAACAAGTGAGGCTGTCCGCTGACTGTCTCATTGGTCTTGCTTACAGTGCCACCAGAGACCCCTCTACCTCCATCCCGGCCTCCGGGGCCCACCAGCCCCCCAAGACCACGGAGTGGGAGAAGAGCCCAGGGCCCATGGAGCTCCCCCCAGGCCAGAGGTGAGCAGTGAGAAGGCCTCCCTTGGAGGAGAGGCTGGAGTGGGGCAAGCTGGGAGGCAGGCAGTGACCTCTGGGTCCCTTCTCTTCTCTGACAGTGCCCAGGCCCTTGAGCCTCCTCCAGTGCCCAACGGCTCTGCCCCTGGAGGGCCCATCTCCCCGGGCTCCCAGTGAGTGTGGCTACAGCCTGGGGCAGGTGGGAGGGACAGGGCTCCTGGACCCTCATGTTATGTCTCCTCTCCTCCCAGGTAGCTGCCTGGTGGTGGTGGCGACCAGATCCTCCGTCCTTTCCGTGGACCCCACTGGGGCAGGGTGGGTCCCAAGATGCCCCCTGCTCCTGTCACCCCCTTCCCTCACATTCTCTCCTCTGGATTCCCAGGAGGCTGGTGCCAGGGAGACAAGCCCCCACCCACCCCCATTTGCACTGAGAAGAGAAATTACGGAGCTTTGTCTCCTAGAATAAAGATAGAGAGTCATGTGGAAAGAAGGAAGAGAGAGAGACATATATTATATATTATATATATACTGAGAAGGAGAGAAGAAGCTGGGATGCCGCGTAGGGCCCGTGGCTCCTAAGCACACCCTCCCTGTCTGTCCTGGTGGGGGCTGGCTCTGGGGTCCTGAGGCCGCTGCCGTGCYCCAGTTCTGTGTTCTGTGTTCCGGTGCCGATGCCCGTGCCCATGCCCACATCCAGCCTTTCAGCTCAGGTCCACCTTGGGGGAAAGCCTGCGAGGGTGTCGGGCCCGAGTGGGGCCGTGCCTTCGCTCAGACCCTGCACTTTCACCCAGGCGCCTGGCCCTGGGGAGTGGGGCCTCCCTGGCAACATCCCCAGGGGCCCTGAATCAGTTTGGCTGGGCCCCCTTGCCCAGGGGCCTAGAGTCCCAGCCCTGCTGCCATGTGGCCTTGTCCCCCCTCCCCCAGCCTGGCGTGAGTGTGCGAGTGTTCGTGCTGAGCTTCTATTTCATATTGCAAATATAAATAAAGGAAGACTGTTTACGATTCTTGATGGTCAGACCTTGAGTTCTGGAATGTGGGGTGGAGAGCAGCTTCCCCTCTGAGGCTGTGAACCTTGTGGGACATGGTCCTGGGTGGGGCGGTGACCCATGCCCAGCTGAGGCAGAGATTTCCAGGAGGAAATCTGCCCCGTCCCCAATCTACACGGATCCACACCCTCACAGCACATCTGCATTTGACACCCCGAAGTGTCCCTGGCCTGCATGTGCAGGCTCGGGTGGGGCACTGCTGAGTCTGCCTCCCAGCCAGATCCACCATCACTGCACTGCTAGGGACTTGGGGTAGCTGGGGAGCCCTGGGCTCTGGAGGCCTCAGGTTCTTGCTGGTGGAAGGAGGGAAGTTGGAATCCTGCGCTCATCCCTGGTGGGAAGCAGTGAGCCACGTTACGGGTGAGTGGGTTTCCAATGAGGCACATGACACCACCACCACCACCACCCCTCCCCCACCCCCACCCCCCGCAATTCCCTGAGCCCTGTGGTCCCTGTGGCAGTCCCCATCTTCCAGATGGGAAGGCTGAAGAGTGAGCACTGAATGCAGGGGGTAAGTATCCTGGCAAACTGCTGCAGTGACCCCTGCACTGGGCACAAGGACAGCATCCTCACTGCACCCTCATTCAGCCAGTACTTGGCAGGGAATGGGGCAGGAAGGCCCCTTCCCACCACYTTCCCACCCTCCCTGGCTGGCCCACTCCATTGGAATCCTGAGCCGCCCCTTCTGATTGGCTGGGCACAGGACAATGGGAAGGGCACTTGTGGGCCTCACCCCCCAGGCAGAAGAAACTAGGCCAGGTTCGTGTGTGCTGGGCAGGGGCTGTGGAGATGGAGGGACCCTTGGGTCTCGATGGGCATCTTATTAGAGGGCATCAAGCAAGGGCAACTCCTGAGGGGGAGCAGTTTCTCTCTGGGTGCTGTTATCAGTCCCAGCATCCACAGGACGCTCTTTGGGTTAATGTGTGACCATGACCTCTTTCCTCCTCACCCTGACCTACCAGCTTCCAGGTACAGGCCACTCTGGCATCGTACCAGCATGGAGAGTGGGAAGGAAGTGCTGCTCCTGAAGACGCTCCTAGTCCAAGTGAGGGCCTGCAGAGGCATGGGCCTGGGGCAGGGCCTGGGGTAGGGCCTGGGGTCCTCTGCCTGCCCAGGAGACAGAAAATCCTGGTCCCTGAATAGGTCCCGCTGGGACAGCTCTGGCCTGGAGTGGGGGTRAAGTGGGGAAGCTGGGAGATCTGTCTCAGCCTGGTCAGGCCTGGCCCCTTTGAGGGCTAGAGCTAGACTGAGTGCTGAATGCGAGTTCGGTGCTTGTCCTCTCTGAAGCACCAACAGGCCCGCAGATGGCTGAGCCCCTTCATTGTCACCTGTTCCATCTACTTCCTCCTCTGGATTCCTGAGAGCCAGTCGACCTGGGTCAGTGCCCTGGTCAAGAGCCTGCCTGTGCTCTCCCTGGTGGTGTACCCATGGGCCCTGACCTCTGGCGGGAGCTACGCCTGGCTTCTCCAGGGAGGCCTTGTGTGCTCGGCTGTGGGGAACGCCTGCCTCATCTGGCCCGAGGCCTTCCTTCATGGTGAGCGGGGACCTGGTGATGCTGTATCTGGGGCCCTTGTGGGGGAGTTGAGTTGGTGCTGGGACGCCACCCTGCAGTGCAGCAAGGCTGCGAGGACCACTGCACACAGGGTCAGATGGGAACAGGGGGGTGCAGCTTTGGAGGGGTGGGGTCAGACAGTGTGCACTTAGAAGGCGGAAGTGGCGTGGAGGAAAAAGAGGTGGTTGAAGAAGGTTTTACTGAGGGAGTGACCAGTAGGCATTCTCGAAGGAGGTGCCCCATGCATGTGTTGGGGAACATGTTCTGAGCAAGGAACTAGCAGGTGCAAAGGCCCTGGGGTAGTGGCACACCAGGCCCTTTGTCTACGTGGGCCAGGGTGATGAGCAGAGCAGTGATGGGCAGAGGGTGTGGGTATTCCAGAGCAGAATGGGGAGGAGGTGGACAGTGAGACAGCAAGGATGCAGCCCAGGCTACATTCAAGAGTGAAGGTTGCTCCTGCTGCTTTGAGAACTGACAGAGTAGCCAAGGCAGGGAGAAGTTGGGGAGCCACTGAGGAGGTGGCCCTGTCATCCCAGCAGGCAGCCACGGCATGGCCAGGGTGGGAGCTGGTCCTGGGACCATCCTCTCAGGCCTGGGTGGGGCCAAGGGAGAACAGAAGGACTTGGGCGGTTCTGAGAACAGCAGAGGAGGAGGGTGAACAGCTCTCTGGGCACTCACCTCCCTCCCCAGGTATGACCGCCTTTGCTGCTGCCCACTTCCTGTATTTCTGTGCCTTCGGGCTCTCCCCGCTGCAGCCGGCCCTGCTGCTGCTCACCATCCTGGCCTCTGTGGTGTACTATGGCCTGCTTCTGCTGTACCTTGAGCCGGACATGTTCCTGCCAGTGGCAGTCTACGTGCTGGTGGTGTCCGCCATGCTATGGCGTGGCCTGGCCCAGGGTGGGAGTGCTGGCTGGGGCGCTCTGCTCCTCGCACTTTCTGATGCCATGCTGGCCTGGGATGTCTTTGTCCACCCCCTGCCCTATGCCCGCCTGGTGACCATGTCCACCTACTACTTAGCCCAGCTGCTCATCACCCTGTCAGTCAAGAGCCTAGGGCTCAAGAACGACTGACCAGGAGCCAGATGCCCAGTCCCCTCCCTCCCCTCCCCCAGAGACTGACCCAGCCTGAGAAACACCCCCACGACCAAGCCTTGGGTGCAACTGCGGTGCTGTCTGTCTCAAGACGCTTGTGTGCTATTGGCATTCCAAGCCTGCCGCTGGGTTCCAGCTTCCTTCCCTGGGTTCTGGCTCTGGACTCTGGGCCTCTCGGCCAGACCTGTATTCTGCCTTCCCCTGTCTCCCCACCATCTGCCCCTTCCCACAGCTCCCATCTGTCTTCTCGTTGCCAAGTAAAGTGGGTATTGAAACAGAGCAGCCCTGTTATTTTGGGAACACGTCGGGGAGGGATGATCACAGTCCATAAGAGCCCAAGAGGCAGCCTGGTGCCCATGGACCCCCTGGAGCCCTTAGGTGGGGGTGTCCATCCTCCCCTTGTTACAGGGGAGCTACAGCCAGGAAGGACATATCTTAGAGGACACAACCCACTATAATCACGGTATCAGGAGTTGAGGTGAGGAGGGCACAGGTGACTGGGAGAGCAGGAAGGAGTGACCACAGCAGTGTGACCTCTGCTACTGAGGGCATGACCGGGAGGGCGCTCCCTCCCGACGTGACCTCTGCACCCACAGTGTGCGCGTGAGACCATGCGTTGCGTCCTTGTGTGGTTTAAGGAGCTCCTACAGCAGAGGAGGAGGGTGGACAGCTCTCAGTGGGAAGTGAGGGTTGGGTGGGGGAAGCGGGCCCTAGCAGTGAGGGTGGGGACAGATCTGCAGCGGAGGAGACAGAGGAGCCAGCAGCAGAGGGATTCCCTCAAGCAAAGGGAAGACAGGAGGTGAAACTCTTCCTCCTGGGTTTCTGCCCTGCCTCCCTCTCTTTAGAAGAGCCCCAGAGGGAAGTACACAGTCAGGGGCTCCTGACTTGCAGACATGGAGGGTGGGAAGCCCTGCTGTGTGAAGAACCCAAGAACTTGCCTGGGAGGGGAAAGGCAGCTAGGGAGCCTGTGTTGGAGGAAAAAGAGCTGAAGCCTCGGATTCCTGGGACTGAGGGAGGGGGCTGGGTCTGAGGGGGGAGGCTGGGCCTGGACCCTGGGTCTGAGGGAGGAAGCTGGGCCTGGACCCTGGGTCTGAGGGAGGAGGCTGGGCCTGGACCCTGGGACTGAGGGAGGGGGCTGGACCTGGACCCCTGGGCTCTCCCTCTCCCTCTCCCTCTCCCTCTCCCTGAGCTGTGTGGCCCAGTGCAGGCGTGGTCAACAGGAGCACATGTACCACACGTTGTGGCTTGGGACGAGGGTTGGGCCTGGGATTCCTACTGCCTCTGTTGTGGGCAGGGAAGAGGGGTTGCAGGGATGTCTTAAGTRTGCTCAGATTGAGGGAGGGCCACATCACTGCCCAGAAACCTGTGTTCCTGTGTGAGTGAGTGCATGTGGACATGTGTGCACAGAGTGTCCTGGACTGTTCCTCAGCCACCAGGACTGTGTGTGATTGTGACATCTGCAGCAGGCAGAATGGGCCCCAAGATAGCTGTGTCCTGATCCCCAAAGTCTGTGAATGTGTCCCCTTCTGTGGGGAATGTTGTCAAAGGTCACCAATGGAGTAGAGGTTACTGGTCAGCTGGCCTGAAGACAAATTGTCCTGCTTGTCTGGGTGGCCCCTGTCATCTCAGGAGTCCTTTGGAAAGGGGAGGGAGGCAGGCTGGAAGAAGCCTGGCTGCTGGCTTTGAAGGTTAGAGGGGAGCCACATTCTGCCCTGCAGCTCCAGGGGGAGCAGCCCTGCTCCGTCTCCACCTCAAGTCAGTGAGACCCATTTCAGACATCTGCGCTTCAGTCCTGTAAGACAGTAAATTGATGTAGTCTTTTTTTTTTGAGTTGTAGATGGACACGCNCCCTGGGTCTAAGGGAGGAGGCTGGGCCTGGACCTTGGGTCTGAGGGAGGAGGCTGGTCCTGGACCCTGGGTCTGAGGGAGGAGGTTTTACTGGCTCCCTCTCCCTCTCCCTCTCCCTCTCCCTCTCCCTCTCCCTCTCCCTGAGCTGTGTGGCCCAGTGCAGGCGTGGTCAACAGGAGCACATGTACCACACGTTGTGGCTTGGGACGAGGGTTGGGCCTGGGATTCCTACTGCCTCTGTTGTGGGCAGGGAAGAGGGGTTGCAGGGATGTCTTAAGTGTGCTCAGATTGAGGGAGGGCCACATCACTGCCCAGAAACCTGTGTTCCTGTGTGAGTGAGTGCATGTGGACATGTGTGCACAGAGTGTCCTGGACTGTTCCTCAGCCACCAGGACTGTGTGTGATTGTGACATCTGCAGCAGGCAGAATGGGCCCCAAGATAGCTGTGTCCTGATCCCCAAAGTCTGTGAATGTGTCCCCTTCTGTGGGGAATGTTGTCAAAGGTCACCAATGGAGTAGAGGTTACTGGTCAGCTGGCCTGAAGACAAATTGTCCTGCTTGTCTGGGTGGCCCCTGTCATCTCAGGAGTCCTTTGGAAAGGGGAGGGAGGCAGGCTGGAAGAAGCCTGGCTGCTGGCTTTGAAGGTTAGAGGGGAGCCACATTCTGCCCTGCAGCTCCAGGGGGAGCAGCCCTGCTCCGTCTCCACCTCAAGTCAGTGAGACCCATTTCAGACATCTGCGCTTCAGTCCTGTAAGACAGTAAATTGATGTAGTCTTTTTTTTTTGAGTTGTAGATGGACACGCRCCTTTGTTTATTTTTATGTGGTGCTAAGAATCGAACCCAGTGCCYCACACATGCTAAGAAAGTGCTCTGCCACGGAGCCCCAGCCTCAGCCCTGATGTAGTCTTAAATGACTAAATTTGTACAGATTTTTTTACAGCAGCAAATATAAAACTAATATCTCAGCCCGCCTTCTTGGAGGTCATGAAGCATGTCCTTAGCCAAAATCTGAGGCCTGGGCCTATGCAGCGTGGCCTGCCCTCCCACTTACTGCCCAGAAGAGCAGCAGCGCCTCCACAGCCTCCTTTGCCCAAGTGGGAGTCCGAACAGTTCCCGAGCTCTCTGGGCAAAGTCTCAGCGCTGTGTCTCCAGCACAGCCCGCCCAGGGGGCTTGCAGGCCTCTTTGCTGTTGTCACCTTGCCCCCTCCTCTGCAGCAGTACCAGAGGCTTGGCAAGTCTGAGCACATCTGCCCCCTGAGCTGACCCCTAGGGCTGTGCTGTGACTAGAGGTAGGCCTCCTGGGGCGCATGGAGGGTCAGCCCTGGTGCTCCCTGCGGGTGGCCTGCTCYTCCTGGCTAGACACCCGGGTCTTGAGCTGTTCTTACACCTGGCTCATTGGAGATCACAGAGAGGCACGCAGGGCTGGGTCAGTGTCTGCAGCCCCGGGCCGTTGCTGTCTGTGGCTCTGGGCACTAGCCGTTGTTGCCCGAGTAGCTTCCTCTCTGCAGCTGTCTGGCTGGTTCTCTGAAACTCCTGTCAGCTGGACGGTGGCTCTCCAGATCTGCAGCCTTCATCCTGGGCGTGGTCCCCTTTTTGTTTTGTGTTGCTGTGTTCTGTTGGAGACTTCTTTTACAAACTCTCTTCCAACCTTCCGCTGGATTTCCCTCTATCTTAATCATATTCTTAATCTCCTAGAGTCCCTTCGTGCTCTCGGGGTTTTCACAGCATCTCCTTTCCTCTCTGCAGAAGTACCTCTCTGAGCGTATCACCGTTTTTTCTCTGAAGTTCTCTACTGGACTTGGATTATTTCTGTTTGCTCAGGAGTTCTGTATTCTGTGTTCTGTTTCTTTCTGCTTCACACTTCTCTGTGGTCTCCTGTCTTTCCTTCTCTGGAGCTTCTCCTGGGCTTACTGCTGTCTGGATTTTTGCTAAGCAGTGCCTCATTCCCTCCTGCAGTACTCAGGTTTTCTTCTGTCCGTCATCTGTCCATACACTATCAGTTATCTATCACCTATCTAGGTACCTGTGTAATCTTAAATGAGCTTTAAAAAAAAATGGGCAAGGGCTGGGGTTGTGGCTCAGTGGTAGAGCGCTTGACTAGCATGTGTGAGGCACTGGGTTCGATTCTCAGCACCACATACAAATAAAAAAAATAAAGGTCCGTCTACAACTAAAAAATTTTTTAAAAAATGGGCAGTGCTAGGGATTGAACCCATGCTTCAACCATGCCAGGAGTGAGTCACATCCCCGCTTTATCCCCATTTTACCCCCTTTTACCACTGAACCACATCCCTGGCTATTCCTGTCTGATCTTATGTATCACCTCTGTGCCATCTACCTACCTACCTATTGTCTTTATATCCATCTGCTGCCAATCAACCATGTGTCATCTGTCCAACTGATGTCTATCTGTATCTGTTTAATATATCACCAATTTCTTCACTCAACTTTTTTTTTTTTCTGGTACCAGGGATTGAACTCGGGAGCACTCAATCACTGAGCCACATCCCTAGCTCTATTTTATGTTTTATTTAGACACAGGGTCTCACTGAGTTGCTTAGGGTCTCGTTTTTGCTGAGACTGACTGGTGATCCTCCTGTCTCAGCCTCCTGAGTAGCTGGGTGTCGCCAGCTGGCTTGGCTGACAAGATGAACTGGGTTCAAAGGAGCTGGCTGCAACCACAAACTAAGAAAACAGCAAAGAAACTACGCAACAAACCAAAGTTTCAAGGGTGGGTCTGCTCTGGGACCCCGAGGGTCAGCTCCACACTGGGCAGCTGGAAGGAGCAAGAAAAGTGCGCACCTGGAACCCCCCGATTTATTGGAGAAAAGACCTTTGATAAAGTATTCTACCCACAAGAGGCAAGGGGTTTCGAAAGTTGGAGTCTTGCTTGGTGATGGCTTGTGGCCAGCAGACTGACACCTTGGCAAGTCACACCCCTCTCAGGTGCTGTGTGGGATCACAGGCAGAGTGAGAAGAAAGGCACACTTGGGTCGCACAGCCCAGTCAGTGCACAACGCCAGACCCCTCCCCTCACACGCTCAAATGCGCATAGCTCACACAGAGCCCATGGATGGCTCGTGACATCTCTCCTTTCTTAATTTATGGACACAATCGAGGGGTTATAACTT